TCCAGGAGAGGAAACTATTTTTGGAGCCAGAAAGGAAAGACCTTGAGATACTTTGCTCTCCCCCTAAGTCCTTTGGAGCAGCAGGCAGCTTCTTCACACTTTCTGTTCAGGGTCCACTTAGTGGCTGGGGGACTGGGCCTTGTGGAACAGGTACACAGGACGCTGGAAGCCTGAGGGAAGAGTGTGCACTCAGGAGGGGCTGGCAGGGCCTACAGACCCCACCACCGGTCTGCACCCTGCACCGGCACTGGCTTCCCTTCCCCTGAAAAAAGAAGCCAGCCTTACCTCTGGAGGTGTTGTTGGGTGTGGCCACGAGCTCATAGCTGGAGAAGCCCACCTCTGGGGATGTCAGGTAGGAACTGAACTGCTCTGGCTTCAGCTGAATTCGAAAGTAGTTCTTGTAGATTCTTTCCTAGGGAGAAAGGTAAGGGACCACTTCAGCTTATTGCCTTCTCGGCTGGTGAAGGATAAGGCCCACCAGGGGGGGCCTTTTCATCTTCTTCAGAAAGTCTTCTCTGCTTCCTTGCCTCAACTAAAGGAAGGACTGCCCCAGTTTCCACAGAAGCCCCCACTCACTGTGAGAGTCTTTCTCCGGCCGTAGGAGGACCAAGGCTGGGGCTCCAGGACTAGGATGCCCCCAGGACGCAGGTGCCGATAAATCCGTCGAAACATGCGCTTCAGCCCCTCGTCTCCCCAGTTGAGATGTACCCACTTGGTGAGGCTGAGGCAGAGCACCACATCATACTCGGGTTTCTGGGCCTCCACCAGTTCGTCTCGATCAAGCACATAGTTACCCTGAGGGCGAGAATTGGGGGTGAGGACAACAGAGGTGAAAAAGAACCACCGCCCCTTCACAACCCACTGTGCAGCCTCACTTTAGTCCTTGGCCAGTCTTCTCTGGCACTCCTCAAAACAACTCCCAAGTGGTACCCTCTTTGTCTCATTTTCTTGCTCTGTATTGGTGGTAAGCCAATCAAACATAGAGGGAGCCTGAGTAATTTTAAATTGAGCAAATTATCCACAAGGTAGTCAAAGCTAAGGTCAAATTACAGAGAAATAATGCTGGGTTCTCCGAGGATCCTGTTCAGTACTTATTCCCACCCCACAGGCATTTAAGCTGAGAGATTCAATGTTCTGCAAAGGGCCCCAACTCAGGTTGAAAGGGAGACCTGTGGGTTCCTTCCCTAGGTGGGACTGTCAAAGTTTCAGGCCTATTCTTTTTTTCCAGAGAAATGAAGACCTCCATCCTTCAGGAAACCTAGATGATTAGCTCATTACCACCCCTCTGCAAAGTCCATTCTTATGGGTGTGACTGAACACGCTGCCAACTATTCCTGTAGGTGGACTAACTAAAGCATTTCATGGGGGCCCATGTGCAGTCAGGGGACAGATACTTAAGACTCGGTACTCTCCTGCACACTTCCCCATCCCACCATCTAGAGTCAGTGTGGTAATGATCTAAGGCCAAGTCACTTGGGTTCCTGGCCACTGACAATCAACTCTGTGTGTAACACAAATGAGGTCCCTATCAAAGCAGAGAACATAATTAGTCAGCCACTACCCTAATCCTCCTCCCCATCCCAAGACATTCAGTGTCTGACACCCATCCCTTCAGGCACCTACAGAAGGCTGGAGGACAAGTTTTCATCTGGACCACATCCCCCAGTGAGTATGAGCAGCAGCCCCCAAAGGAAGGTGGATGGGTCTAGATACTGCCCAGAAGCAAAGCAAAAGGAACCTGCCCCTATCGTGGGGCTTCTGATCACGAGCAAGGACGCCAGGTACAGCCCCTGCCTTTCCAAGTTATAGGAGGGCAGATACACCAAAATGGAATCAATTGCAGATTCAGACCATTCTCTTGAGGACCTGGCTTATCCAGGGTGGGGTCATGCACAGGAACCCTCTGGGTTATAACCCTCCCTTCCATGTTCTCATTCACTCTCATCTTCATGCCTGACCCCTATCCCAGGAGCCTGGGGGCCCTCTTACCGTGACGAAGACAACATTGTTGGGGAAGACCGCTGTGTCGGCTCCATCCAAGGGCACTTGGGGTGCAGCGATGGGACCACGGCTGGCTGTCAGTGAGGCTGGGAAGTAGCTCCTTTTTCGGACGGCTGCGGTCCCTTCCTCACTCTCTGCTCCTGGGCCGCCCTCAGAAGTCTGGGGTGGCAGACGCAGCTCTTCAGACAGGTAGTGTCGGATGTTCTGGCGGGCTGAGTGGATGAGCTGCGCATCGATATCCAGGCCCACCATGCGGGATGGGCCCCACTTACAGGCAATGCTCAGGGTTAGGTGGCCCACATTGCAGCCCAGATCGAGGACGTCCCGACCCCGAAACCACTCAGGCTTCAATACCCGAAGGCGCCCATCCTCACAGGAAGGATTGCGGTACCCATAGTACTTGCAATAATTCCCATACTGGAACTTGCACTGTTGCTTTTTGAAGGTTGCAGCAGGTAGTGGCTGGGGGTGGTGGCGGCCCCCCCCACTCCCTCGGCCCTTTTCCTTGGAACCCTGGCCTCCACCCCGAGCCCCTGCCTCTGACTTGCTGGAAGTCCTGCGTCGTTTGCGATGTCGTGAGGAGGAAGACGGGGGCGCAGAGGTAACTGAGGCAGCTGGAGGGGCTGAAAGGGAGCCTGAGGGACCCTGGAGGGCAGATGGAAGGGGAGACACGACCTCATCCCTGCAGTTGATGGCTGTGTTGAGTTCATAGGGTTGGGGGGCGTCCCGGTTCTGGCCCCCAAGCTGCTGCGTGGTGCCCTCCCCGTGGAGTGCGGAAGTGGGGGGGGCTGTGGGCAGCGCGGAGTGGCTATCATTCCCTCCCGCTGCCTGCTGCTGCTGCTGCTGGTGGTGGTGCTGTCCCCGGTGTCTATGCCGCTTCCGACCAGTCTTGAGTGGCGAAGCAAGGACAACTTGGGCCTCATCAGTGCAAGTATTGAGACTGAGAGGGTCTGTAATATCTTTGGGGATGAGGATCTCCACTGGATCTCGCCCCTTGGCCGGAAGCGGGGATGACTTAGGGGTCTCCGCATTGAGTGCACGGCTCACTTCCTCATCCAGGAGACTATTCAGGTTCAGGGGATCAAAGATATTGCCCCCCAGGAGGAAGTTGGAGGGTAAGACAGAGTCACAGTCCGAATTAACCCGCCTGCGTCTCTTGAAGGCAGGATGTTTGAAGCCTCCACCACCTCCCCCTACATGACAGCTATTTCTTCTCTTGCCCCCACCTCCCCCAGGGGGCCGGTGGGGCTGGTAGCCATTCCGGGGTCGAGGAGGGGCAGGGGGGCCCAGTTCTGTTCCGCCTCCTCCCCGTCGCTCCTCCCCCACGTCCGGGGGAGCGGCTCGCCCGTGCGGATCCGACAAGCAGGCCTCCCCGTGTGACTGCGCCTGGGGGCCGCCCCCTCGTTGCTGCTGCTGCGACTGACCGCCTCGAGGGGTGGATGCAGCCCCGGGGCTCTCCTTGCCGGCCCCAGAGGCCGGGGATCCCGCCGAGTGAGCGCGCGGGCCCGGCGCACGCTGCGTCCCGCCGCGGAGCTCCCCGGAGGCGGCCTCTCGGTGCGATTGCACCGTGGGGCCGCCCCCTCCGCCCGACTCATCTTTGAGCGGCGGCGGTGGGGCCGGCACCAGAAACGGCTCCTTCTCCGCCGCCATCTCGATCATTTCCTCCCCTTATTCCGTTCCAGTCGAGGGCAACCGGGGGGGGGGGGGCGGGGGC